TTGGTGGTCCGAGAGCAGTCTGGGTCAATGTGATCAAAGGTCCAACAAGAGGCAACCATTGGTGGTCAGAGAGCAGTCTGGCTCAATGTGATCAAAGGTCCAACAAGAGGCAACCATTGGTGGTCAGAGAGCAGTCTGGCTCAATGTGATCAAAGGTCCAACAAGAGGCAACCATTGGTGGTCAGAGAGCAGTCTGGGTCAATGTGATCAAAGGTCCAACAAGAGGCAACCATTGGTGGTCAGAGAGCAGTCTGGCTCAATGTGATCAAAGGTCCAACAAGAGGCAACCATTGGTGGTCAGAGAGCAGTCTGGCTCAATGTGATCAAAGGTCCAACAAGAGGCAACCAGTGGTGGTCAGAGAGCAGTCTGGACCAATGTGATCAAAGGTCCAACAAGAGGCAACCATTGGTGGTCCGAGAGCAGTCTGGGTCAATGTGATCAAAGGTCCAACAAGAGGCAACCAGTGGTGGTCCGAGAGCAGTCTGGACCAATGTGATCAAAGGTCCAACAAGAGGCAACCGTTGGTGGTCCGAGAGCAGTCTGGGTCAATGTGATCAAAGGTCCAACAAGAGGCAACCATTGGTGGTCAGAGAGCAGTCTGGCTCAATGTGATCAAAGGTCCAACAAGAGGCAACCATTGGTGGTCAGAGAGCAGTCTGGCTCAATGTGATCAAAGGTCCAACAAGAGGCAACCATTGGTGGTCAGAGAGCAGTCTGGGTCAATGTGATCAAAGGTCCAACAAGAGGCAACCAGTGGTGGTCCGAGAGAGCAGTCTGGCTCAATGTGATCAAAGGTCCAACAAGAGGCAACCATTGGTGGTCAGAGAGCAGTCTGGCTCAATGTGATCAAAGGTCCAACAAGAGGCAACCAGTGGTGGTCAGAGAGCAGTCTGGACCAATGTGATCAAAGGTCCAACAAGAGGCAACCATTGGTGGTCAGAGAGCAGTCTGGGTCAATGTGATCAAAGGTCCAACAAGAGGCAACCATTGGTGGTCAGAGAGCAGTCTGGCTCAATGTGATCAAAGGTCCAACAAGAGGCAACCAGTGGTGGTCAGAGAGCAGTCTGGACCAATGTGATCAAAGGTCCAACAAGAGGCAACCATTGGTGGTCAGAGAGCAGTCTGGGTCAATGTGATCAAAGGCCCAACAAGAGGCAACCAGTGGTGGGGTCCGAGAGCAGTCTGGACCAATGTGATCAAATGTCCAAGAGGCAACCATTGTTGGTCCTCACTCACCCCAAACAAAAACTGCTCCTGGCTCCTCTGCAGGAGGTGGTCTGGTTCCTGGCCACAAGAACCTACAAGGGGCCACAGTAATGGTGGAGTCATGTCAGGACACAAGAGTACCCAGGGAGTGGCTGACTGCCCACACATTGTCCAAAGTCCACATAGTGATAGTCCCGTCTACCAACTTGGGATCCTCCTTTGTCCCTCTCCATAACCAGACCACCATTGAAGACCTCTTCACAGCGCCCAGTCATGGCTCAACCTGGGAGGGGGCGGGGCCATGTGCGCCTGGTACATGATGAGGACCAATACAAACTGCTACTGGATGTGGACAATCCATTCCGGGACCATCCCTTGGGAGCAATCCATCCCTCGGGACCAATCCATCCCTGAAGAGCAATCCATCCCTGAAGAGCAATCCATCCCTCGGGACCAATCCATCCCTGAAGAGCAATCCATCCCTCTGGACCAATCCATCCCTGAAGAGCAATCCATCCCTCGGGACCAATCCATCCCTGAAGAGCAATCCATCCCTCGGTATCAATGCCACCACATTCCCCCAGCTCTCTGCCAAGAGGTCAAGGACGTGATCGGTAACATGCTAGGAAGTGGGGTTTTCTGGGAGGACCGCAGCCCATTGGCCACCCCATGTATCCTGGTGAGAAAGAAAGATGGAAGCCTTCGGTTCTGTGCTGACCTCCTGCTCACACCGAGATGCCTGTTACCCCGGGTGGAGGAATCCCTCATGACCCCGGGTGGAGGAATCCCTCATGACCCCAGGTGGAGGAATCCCTCATGACCCCGGGTGGAGTAATCCCTCATGGCCGCGGGTGGAGGAATCCCTCATGGCTCCGGGTGGAGGAATCCCTCATGGCCCCGGGTGGAGGAATCCCTCATGGTCCCGGTGGAGGAATCCCTCATGGCCCCGGGTGGAGGAATCCCTCATGGCCCTGGGTGGAGGAATCCCTCATGGCCCCGGGTGGAGGAATCCCTCATTGCCCCGGGTGGAGGAATCCCTCATGGCCCGGGGTGGAGGAATCCCGCATGGCCCGGGGTGGAGGAATCCCTCATGGCCCCGGGTGGAGGAATCCCTCATGGCCCGGGGTGGAGGAATCCCTCATGGCCCCGGGTGGAGGAATCCCTCATGGCCCCGGGTGGAGGAATCCCGCATGGCCCCGGGTGGAGGAGGAATCCTTCATGGCCCCGGGTGGAGGAATCCCTCATGGCCCCGGGTGAAGGAATCCCTTATGACCCCAGGTGGAGGAATCCCTCATGGCCCCGGTGGAGGAATCCCTCATGGCCCCGGTGGAGGAATCCCTTATCATATCCCCGGGTGGAAGAATCCCTTATGGCCCCGGGTGGAGGAATCCCTCATGGCCCCGGGTGGAGAAATCCCTTATGGTCCCGGTGGAGGAATCCCTCATGGCCCCGGGTGGAAGAATCCCTCATGGCCCCGGGTGGAGGAATCCCTCATGACCTCGGGTGGAGGAATCCCTCATGACCCCGGGTGGAGGAATCCCTCATGACCCCAGGCTAAGATGAATTTGTTTTCCACACTCGACCTGGGAAATGGTTACCGGCAAGTACCGGTACGGGAGCAAGACGGTGAGAAAACGTCCTCCATCACACCCCTGGGACTGTTCAAATGGAACCACATGATGTTCGGGTCGAGAACGAACACGCTCCCAACACACGAGGAGACTTCGACTTCCAGGATCGGTCTGTCTGGACGACGTTATCATCTTCTCCAAGTCCTCTGAAGATCGTATACAGAACTTGGACTGGGTGGTGATACAGAACCAAAAGAAGGAAAGAGGCAGCAAGATGGAGCCCAAGTGGAGGAGCATCCGGTGCCGGGTGGGAGAAGCAACCCTTTCCTCCGACACGTATATCATGAGGCTTCAGAGGCCTCCACACCGGTCAGGGATTGGCTCCACTGCAACCTACTAGGACCATACATGCTAAGAGGGGATTGACCAATCAAGCCTGATGGAGAACCCAGGTCCATGGATGTCCCACCTGTGCAAGAAGACCCCCATGAATGGTACCTTCTGACCCTTCAGTTGGAGCCCACACTTCCTGATGGCCCTGAAGGGTCCCAACACTGAGCCTATGGACAACTCAGAAATCTTCACCTCACAGAATGCAAATTCTGCTGAATCCAAGGACTCAGATGACACCCCAGCCTCTGGCCCACATGGAGGAGACTCAGATGACACCCCAGCCTCTGGCCCGGATGGAGGGGACTCAGATGACACCCCAGCCTCTGGCCCGGATGGAGGAGACTCAGATGACACCCCAGCCTCTGGCCCGGATGGAGGGGACTCAGATGACACCCCAGCCTCTGGCCCGGATGGAGGAGACTCAGATGACACCCCAGCCTCTGGCCCGGATGGAGGGGACTCAGATGACACTCCAGCCTCTGGCCCAGATGGAGGGACTCAGATGACACCCCAGTCTCTGGCCCAGATGGAGGGGACTCAGATGACACCCCAGCCTCTGGCCCGGATGGAGGGACTCAGATGACACCCCAGCCTCTGGCCCGGATGGAGGAGACTCAGATGACACCCCAGCCTCTGGCCCGGATGGAGGGGACTCAGATGACACCCCAGCCTCTGGCCCGGATGGAGGAGACTCAGATGACACCCCAGCCTCTGGCCCGGATGGAGGAGACTCAGATGACACCCCAGCCTCTGGCCCGGATGGAGGGACTCAGATGACACCCCAGACTCTGGCCCGGATGGTGGAGACTCAGATGACACCCCAGCCTCTGGCCCGGATGGAGGGGACTCAGATGACACCCCAGCCTCTGGCCCGGATGGAGGGGACTCAGATGACACCCCAGCCTCTGGCCCGGATGGAGGGGACTCAGATGACACCCCAGCCTCTGGCCCGGATGGAGGGGACTCAGATGACACCCCAGCCTCTGGCCCGGATGGAGGAGACTCAGATGACACCCCAGCCTCTGGCCCGGATGGAGGGGACTCAGATGACACCCCAGCCTCTGGCCCGGATGGAGGGGACTCAGATGACACCCCAGCCTCTGGCCTGGATGGCGGCACTGTACCCCACATTCCTCCATAGAGACTCCTTGTCACGGAGTGCCAGTGCCTCTCCCATCCTCCGCCATATCCCTCCACCCCTCCCTTCCCCCTTACACATTCCGATGTCCCTGCAGCTTCCATGAACAGTGCTGGGCCGGCCGTTGCCGAGGCAACCTAGCAGCGTCCCACATGGTTTTTAAAAGACTGGCACAGGAAGTAGCCCTCCTCTTTGTTCCTGTCCATGCTGCTGGAATCATCTTCCTCCGCTGAATGTCTCAGGGTGGGAGTCTCCGCAGCTCTGCATGAGCCCCTCTTCCAAGGTCAGACCCCGCGGCCATGCTACCCCCGCTGCTGTTCCTGACCGCTGTGAGGGCCCCTGCCTTCTGATCGCTGGGCCCTGGAGAAGCCGGCCGCCGTGAGGGCCCCTGCCTGCTGGTCACTGGGCCCCTGGAGAAGCCGGCTGCTGTGAGGGTCCCTGGAAGCTGCCTGCTGCTGACCATCTGTAAGTCGCCTACCGTGACTGTCCCTAGATGCCATGAACTGCCCGGGGTGTGCGCACAGACTACCCGTGTCCTGAACTGTCCCTGCTGTGTGCACCGACCACCCGTGTTCTGAATTGTCCCTGCTGTGTGCACCGACCACCCGTGTTCTGAACTGTCCCTGCTGTGCGCACCGACCACCTGTGTTCTGAACTGTCCCTGCTGTGTGCACCGACCACCCGTGTTCTGAACTGTCCCTGCTGTGTGCACCGACTACCCGTGTCCTGAATTGTCCCTGCTGTGTGCACCGACTACCCGTGTTCTGAACTGCCCCTGCTGTGTGCACCGACCACCCGTGTTCTGAACTGTCCCTGCTGTGCGCACCGACCACCTGTTTTCTGAACTGTCCCTGCTGTGTGCACCGACCACCCGTGTTCTGAACTGTCCCTGCTGTGTGCACCGACCACCTGTGTTCTGAACTGTCCCTGCTGTGTGCACCGACCACCCGTGTTCTGAACTGTCCCTGCTGTGCACACAGACCACCCGTGTTCTGAACTGTCCCCGCTGTGTGCACTGACTACCCTTGTTTTGAAGTGTCCCTGCTGTGTGCACCGACCACCAGTGTTCTGAACTGTCCCTGCTGTGTGCACCGACCACCTGTGTTCTGAACTGTCCCTGCTGTGTGCACCGACCACCCGTGTTCTGAACTGTCCCTGCTGTGCACACAGACCACCCGTGTTCTGAACTGTCCCCGCTGTGTGCACTGACTACCCTTGTTTTGAAGTGTCCCTGCTGTACACACAGACCACCTGAGTTATGAACTGCCCTACTACACGCCTAAACTACCCTTACTTGAACCAGTCACGAAGGGAGCTCAGCTGAGGCCCCAAGCCTAGGGGGGAGATTGCCTGCCTGTCGCCGAAGACCCCCCGTGCCTGGAATCGTCTCTGGTTTGCGCACACATCAACCTCCCTGCCATTTCCCCATTGAGTGTCTGTCATTTTGTTGCTTCAATAAAGCTTTGCGTGTTCCCCATCTTACTGCCTACGCTTCCGTTACACTCCCCAATACGGAGAACGGCCACTAGATGGCGGCACTGTACCCCACTTTCCTCCATACAGGCGCCCCAATACCAAGAACGGCCACTAGATGGCGGCACTGTACCCCACTTTCCTCCATACAGGGCGCCCCAATACGGAGAACGGCCACTAGATGGCGGCACTGTACCCCACATTCCTCCATACAGACGCCCCAATACCAAGAACGGCCACTAGATGGCGGCACTGTACCCCACATTCCTCCATACAGACGCCCCAATACCAAGAACGGCCACTAGATGGCGGCACTGTACCCCACATTCCTCCATAGAGACGCCTCAATACGGAGAACGGCCACTAGATGGCGGCACTGTACCCCATCATTCCTCCATAGAAACGCCCCAATATGGAGAACAGCCACTAGATGGCGGCACTGTACCCCACTTTCCTCCATACAGGCGCCCCAATACCAAGAACGGCCACTAGATGGCGGCACTGTACCCCACATTCCTCCATAGAGACGCCTCAATACGGAGAACGGCCACTAGATGGCGGCACTGTACCCCACATTCCTCCATACAGGCGCCCCAATACGGAGAACGGCCACTAGATGGCGGCACTGTACCCCACATTCCTCCATAGAAACGCCCCAATATGGAGAACGGCCACTAGATGGCGGCACTGTACTCCACATTCCTCCATAGAGATGCCTCAATACGGAGAACGGCCACTAGATGGGGGCACTGTACCCCACATTCCTCCATACAGGCGCCCCAATACGGAGAACGGCCACTAGATGGCGACACTGTACCCCACATTTCTCCATACAGGCGCCCCAATACGGAGAAGGGCCACTAGATGGCGGCACTGTACCCACATTCCTCCATAGAGACGCCAAAATACGGAGAACGGCCACTAGATGGTGGCACTGTACCCCACATTCCTCCATACAGGCGCCCCAATACGGAGAACGTCCACTAGATGGCAGCACTGTACCCCACATTCCTCCATACAGGTGCCCAAATACGGAGAATGGCTGCTAGATGGGGTCACTGTACCCCACATTCCTCCAAACAGGCGCCCCAATACAGAGAACGGCCGCTAGATGGGGGCACTGTACCCCACATTCCTCCATAGAGACGCCTCAATACGGAGAATGGCTACTAGATGGGGGCACTGTACCCCACATTCCTCCATAGAGAGATGCCTCAATATGGAGAACGGCCACTAGATGGGGGCACTTTACCCCACATTCCTCCATAGAGACACCCCAATACGGAGAGTGGTCACTAGATGGCGGCACTGTACCCCACATTCCTCCATAGAGATTCCCCAATACTGAGAACGGCCACTAGATGGGGGCACTGTACCCAACATTCCTTCAAAGAGACGCCCCAATATGGATAGTGGCCACTAGATGGGGGCACTGTACCCCACATTCCTCCATAGACACACCCCAATACGGAGAGTGGCCACTAGATGGGGGCACTGTACCCCACATTCCTCCATAGAGATGCCTCAATACGGAGAACGGCCACTAGATGGCGGCACTGTACCCCACATTCCTCCATACAGGCACCCCAATACGGAGAACAGCCACTAGATGGCGGCACTGTACCCCACATTCCTCCATACAGGCACCCCAATACGGAGAACAGCCACTAGATGGACGCACTGTACCCCACATTCCTCCATAGAAACGCCCCAATATGGAGAACGGCCACTAGATGGGGGCACTGTACCCCACTTTCCTCCATAGAGATGCCTCAATACGGAGAATGGCCACTAGATGGCGGCACTGTACCCCACATTCCTCCATAGAGATGCCTCAATACAGAGAACGGCCACTAGATGGGGCACTGTACCCCACATTCCTCCATACAGGTGCCCCAATACAGAGAACGGCCACTAGATGGCGGCACTGTACCCCACATTCCTCCATACAGGTGCCCCAATATGGAGAACGGCCACTAGATGGCGGCACTGTACCCCACATTACTCCATACAGGCGACCCAATACGGAGAACAGCCACTAGATGGACGCACTGTACCCCACATTCCTCCATAGAAACGCCCCAATATGGAGAACGGCCACTAGATGGCGGCACTGTACCCCATATTCCTCCATACAGGTGCCCCAATACGGAGAACGGCCACCAGATGGCGGCACTGTACCCCACATTCCTCCATAGAGATGCCTCAATACGGAGAACGGCCAATAGATGGCGGCACTGTACCCCACATTCCTCCATAGAAACGCCCCAATATGGAGAACGGCCACTAGATGGCGGCACTGTACCCCACATTCCTCCATAGAGATGCCTCAATACAGAGAACGGAGACTAGATGGGGGCACTGTACCCCACATTCCTCAATAGAGACGACCCAATACGGAGAAAGGCCACTAGATGGGGGCACTGTACCCCACATTCCTCCATACAGGTGCCCCAATACGAACGGCCACAAGATGGCGGCACTGTACCCCACATTCCTCCATACAGGTGCCCCAATACGGAGAATGGCCACTAGATGGGGGCACTGTACCCCACACTCCTCCATAGAGATGCCTCAATACGGAGAACGGCCACTAGATGGCGGCACTGTACCCCACATTCCTCCATACAGGTGCCTCAATACAGAGAACGGTCACTAGATGGCAGCACTGTACCCCACATTCCTCCATACAGGCGCCCCAATACGGAGAACGGCCACTAGATGGCGGCACTGTACCCCACATTCCTCCATACAGGCGCCCCAATACGGAAAACGGCCACTAGATGGAGGCACTGTACCCCACATTCCTCCATAGAAACGCCATAATATGGAGAACGGCCACTAGATGGCGGCACTGTACCCTACATTCCTCCATAGAGATGCCTCAATACGGAGAACGGCCACTAGATGGGGGCACTGTACCCCACATTCCTCCATACAGGCGCCCCAATACGGAGAACGGCCACTAGATGGACGCACTGTACCCCACATTCCTCCATAGAAATGCCCCAATATGGAGAACGGCCACTAGATGGCGGCACTGTACCCCATATTCCTCCATACAGGTGCCCCAATACAGAGAACGGCCACTAGATGGTGACACTGTACCCCACATTCCTCCATACAGGCACCCCAATACGGAGAAGGGCCACTAGATGGCGGCACTGTACCCACATTCCTCCATAGAGACGCCAAAATACGGAGAACGGCCACTAGATGGTGGCACTATACCCCACATTCCTCCATACAGGCGCCCCAATACGGAGAACATCCACTAGATGGCAGCACTGTACCCCACATTCCTCCATACAGGTGCCCAAATACGGAGAACGGCTGCTAGATGGGGTCACTGTACCCCACATTCCTCAATACAGGCGCCCCAATACAGAGAACGGCCGCTAGATGGGGGCACTGTACCCCACATTCCTCCACAGAGATGCCTCAATACGGAGAATGGCCACTAGATGGGGGCACTGTACCCCACATTCCTCCATAGAGATGCCTCAATATGGAGAACGGCCACTAGATGGGGGCACTGTACCCCACATTCCTCAATAGAGACACCCCAATACGGAGAGTGGCCACTAGATGGGGGCACTGTACCCCATCATTCCTCCATAGAAACGCCCCAATATGGAGAACAGCCACTAGATGGCGGCACTGTACCCCACTTTCCTCCATAGACGCCCAAATACGGAGAATGGCAACTAGATGGAGTCACTGTACCCCACATTCCTCCATAGAGATTCCCCAATACTGAGAACGGCCACTAGATGGCAGCACTGTACCCAACATTCCTTCATAGAGACGCCCCAATACGGATAGTGGTCACTAGATGGGGGCACTGTACCCCACATTCCTCCATAGACACACCCCAATACGGAGAGTGGCCACTAGATGGGGGCACTGTACCCCACATTCCTCCATAGAGACGCCCCTATACTGAGAACGGCCAGTAGATGGCGGGACTGTAACCCCACATTTCTCCAGAGACACCCCAATACGGAGAGCAGCCACTAGATGGAGGCACTGTACCCCACATTCCTCCATAGAGATACCCCAATACTGAGAACGGCCAGTAGATGGCGGGACTGTAACCCCACATTCCTCCATAGAGACGCCCCTATACTGAGAACGGCCACTAGATGGCGACACTGTACCCCACATTCCTCCAGATAGATGCCCCAATACGGAGAGCAGCCACTAGTTGGGGGCACTGTACCCCATATTCCTCCATAGAGACGCTGTAATATGGAGAACGGCCAAGAGATGGCGGCATTGTACCCCACATTTTTCGAGAGACACCCCAATACGGAGAGAGGCCACTAGATGTTGGCACTGTACCCCACATTCCTCCATAGAGATGCCCCAAAAGGAAAATGGCCACTAGATGGCGGCACTGTACCCCACATTCCTCCATAGAGATGCTCCAAAACGGAAAAATGGCAACTAGATGGGTGCACTGTACCCCACATTCCTCCACACAGACGCCAAAATACGGAGAACGGCCACTAGATGGGGGCACTGTACCCCACATTCCTCCACACAGACGCCAAAATACGGAGAACGGCCACTAGATGGGGGCACTGTACCCCACATTCATTTACATACAGGTGCCCCAATACGGAGAACAGCCACTAGATGGAGGCACTGTACCCCACATTCCTCCATACAGGCGCCCCAATACAGAGAACGGCCACTAGATGACGGCACTGTACCCCACATTCCACCATAAAGATACCCCAATACGGAGAACAGCCAATAGATGGGAGCACTGTACCCCACATTCCTCCATAGAGACGCCCCAATAAGGAGAACGGCCACTAGATGGCTGTACTGTACCCCACATTCCTCCATAGAGACGCCTCAATACGCAGAATGTCAACTAGATG